AGCGCCGTACACAAACACCAACCCAAGATCTGTCGACACCTCCTCACCCACCTCATCACTCACCAACATCACCAACAAAATCAATCGAAATAAATCATCCATCACCAGCGAAAGAAAATCAAGCTGAACCACAACAAATAACTATCAATGCAACATCATCAGTAGAAACAACAACTGAACAACCAGCTATTGAAGCTAATGCCACTGCTAGTGTTACTGCGACTACCACAACTACGTCTGCTCCTACTCCAGCACCACCAGTTGAACCTGAAGTTGAATGGACAACATTAAATATTGACGGACGAGAATTTCATGTTCCAAAAGCACTAGATATAGATCCATCATTTTTAGTTGCATTACCCGAAGAATTTCGACAAGAAATTTTAACTGATCAAATACGAAATTTTGAACGCGAAGAAAATCTACGACGTGCTGCCGCTGCTAATCCAACGGTAAATTTAAATTCTCAATTAAATGATGCTACAAATAATGATAATTTTGCTGCAAGAGCGAATCAAGCAACAAGCGAAGCTGTTATTGGTGAAATTCTTGGTAAAAACAATTTAGGATTTATTTCTGCTCTACCAGCTGAATTTATACGTACATTACAACCACATTTACGTCAACAAGTTCTTGCTGATATGGATCAAAGTCAAATAGGTGCTTTACCAGAACATATGGCTAATGAAGCACGTACATTACGTGCCAATATGGAAACTCAACAACAACAATATTTATGCGAACGTATGGTGCGAAATCATCATGATATGATGAATATGTTAACGAATAATACTCATCATAGTACCGTCCAATACGTACGGATAATTCACGTGCATTACAAAAAGCTCGAGGTAATCGTACCGATCGACAGCCACCAAGTTGGTATACATTACGTACAGGAACAAATGCAGGTGACCTTAATAGTAATATATCAACAATCAGGTCACGTGATAGACAATTACTTGATTATGAATCAATATGCTGTTTACTTGTTTTATTATTTATTGATGATAAACGTTTGATTTTTTCACGTTTACAAAAAGTTCTAAAAAATTGATGTCATCATCAACAAACACGACACTGGATTATCAGAGCATTATTATCGATTATAAATAAGAGCACAGGGCGTACTGAATATGACGGAACAACATCAACACCCAGTGCATCAGCATTTATACTTCAAAATTCGACAGTAGCTAGTAATGAAAATGAAATTCAACAAATTAAAAATATAAATCCATCATGGTTAACAATTAATTTTGAAAATGCATTTGGTGCTCGAACCAACGTTTTAAAATTCAACATATTGACCATACAAAACGTCATGGTTCAATACAAATATCTGTTCATGCTCAAACCTGTCCGATTGTTTGTCGACAAGTACGTGAATCATTAATAATATTAGCTAAAAACTTTCCTGAACAATTCCTTCCATTACCAATAAATAATACAAGTAATGATCAACAAACAATGATGTCATCAAGTGAATATACAGTAAAAACAAATTCATCTGATAAACAAATAACGACAACACCAGCAGAACCTTCTCCAACAATACATGATTTATCATTTTGGGAATTAATTCTTAAATTAGATCAATCATTTAGTAATCGTTCATCTCGTTCATCAACAAATCCATTACAAAATATATCATCGATTATTATTACAAATACAAATGAAATTGATTTTGAATCATCACCATTAGCAAAAGTATTGCTTATGCTTGATCATCCAATATTAAATAAAAATAATCAATTAATGGATAAATTATTTAAATTACTTTCGATTATATCACAAAGTTTTCAAATATATATTATAAAGAAAAAGGAAGTTTCACCTTTACCTTTAATAGCATCAACATCAATGACAATAGAACCACAAAGTCAAACTACAACAACAGCTATGAGTTCAATGCAACAACAAACTAATAATCAAGCATTAGGAAAAAATAATAATAATAAATTAGTTGTATCAGATGATCAAGTTGTTTTAGGTTCGCAATTAGATTTAGTTATTAAAGCTTTAATGTCAAAATCATGTACAGAAGATGGAATAGAATTTGCAACTATACTTTTATTGAATATATCAAAAATTAATCAAACTACAAGAGATAAAGTTTTACATTTATTACTTAATGGTATTCGTTTATTAGGCAAAGATGTTAGTGAAGAAATCAAGTAAGTTAAATTTCAATATTAAAACAAATATCCTAAATAAATAAATCGTATTAGGAAAAACATCTGACCAATCTTTTATCTCTTTTTTTACTTTTATGAATGCCCTAAAAATAAAATTATTACTATTGAGAAACTGCACTTTTACGAGATTGTTTGATCATAACCCTTGAAACTATCGAAAAAAAATTGATTTTTGAATTTCAACTTGAAAAATCGATGGAGACTTGTCACAAAATAAACTCTAGGAATATTATCAAGAGTCGCCTTTGACTTGTTTCCAATACAAACATTCTTGACAAAAGATCTTATTCACTTCTTTTGATTTACTTTAATCTTAATATAACAATATCGAATTTATTGATGTATGTGAATAATATCAAAGACACGCTTTTATCATAGTCATATCTGCAGATTGAAACTTCAAAAAAAAATCTGAAACATCCACAACAAACTCTGTATGTAAGACCTATTTATATCCAAAATTTCAACAACATAATTCTTCAATCGTGACAGCTTTATAACAATAGATAGTAATTGAAAGAAGTAGATTTATGTCAAATCAACAAAATAAATGCTAATTCTTTGTCTTAAACAAAATTCAAATGTTTTTTTCTAATCTATTTAATTTCAATAAATCTTATCTTATACTTATCATATAAACAATTACATTGGGAAGTTCAAGATTATTTATCAAAAAATAAATCTGCAACAACAAGCAATGATGATGAATCGTCAAATACACCCATAGATGAATCTGCTAAATTATTTGATTCTTATAAAACTATACATTCCAATACTATAACAGGAATGAATGTTGATCCAAATGCAAAACAAGTCGAAAGAAAAAAGATCGTGAAACATGTCAAGCTTTATCGCATTTAGAATGTTTTAGTCCAGTATCAACAACAAAACCTGAGGACCGAGGTGCACCTGATGAACCTCTTACTCTACCTTCAGCAACAAACACAACAACACTAGCTGATTCATCAATGTCAACACTTATTGTACGTACTCCAACATCACAAACNTCATCTTTATCCCGTAGACTAATATGTAGTTCAACAATTCTAATCAGTCGAAGATAATCTCATCGAATATACTAAAAGAATAAAAGTTTATCTTATTTATTATTTAAATAATTAAACCTCGTGTAAATGTAAATACGATTCAATTGCTTGCTTTAATCTTAATGTTAAATGAATTATCTTGTAATCTTTGTGATTTATCTTTTCCTATAACAGTTAAAACAGATGGTCTTTTTAATAGATACCATTGTTCAATAAATTGATTTCTAGTTATTATTGATAATAGAATATCACCATAACCAATAAAAGGGTGTGGGTGTGGATGTGGCTATGAGTATGGCTAAAGACAGCAATGACACCCACACCCACCACACCCACATCCACACCCTCACACCCACCCACACCCACACCCACACCCACACCCCACCCACACCCCGTTCCTATGGTCTGTAAGAGGAGAGGGGAGAGCTGCGAAATCTTGAACTTAAAACTTATACTCACTAATTTCTTCGAAATCCATCCTTTGATTACATGAAAGAGTAGAAACAACGATAATTCCCAGACGTAATGATTTTTGCTCGTAATATTTGTTGAAGCAAATATCTGGGCAACTATCTGCAGGTCAATTTTAATGCATAATCAAACTTTTGCCATGCCTACACAATCATGTGAATCAACTATGGCTTTATTACATAGAAGTGGAATCTATATGAACCTATTTATCTATCTGGAAATTAAACCCATGTGTTTATATATTCGGTGCGCCAGAGCCTTGTTTTGAGACCAAATAATAATTGCTATACCATTTCATACCAAGAGCAAAAATTATCAATGATGCTTTCCGAGTTAAACTGAGATACTTTGCAAGTTACGCATTCTAGTCAATTGTCTAATCTGTATTTTTTTTGTAAAGCCATATTTCTTGTGTCCTCCTAACACTTCCCAGTCAAGCGTCAATTTCGGAAACACGCATTGGTACGCGAGGAAAATCAACAATCTTGCGTGTGCATGCAGGATATTTTTCATTTGCTTGAGTTTTGCGCTGGAGCACGCATGTTTCTTTAAAAATATTCGAATCTTGTGTATAAACGCAAGGCAATGGCACTTGCACACACACGCGTGATAGAATTACATGCATGTGAACACAGGTTTACTGGGATTTTAAGAAAACATCTACAGACATGCAGAATTTTGTGCATGCGTGTACTCGACAGCTGTATTCTTGTAAATTTGTGCAAGCAATATGATTTCCATGTAAACGCAACAGTTTTACCTGCATGTACATGCATTATAGGTGTAGTCTTTTCAAATTTTGTATGGAAGTGCACGAAATAATGTAACTTCAGACACATATGAGCGCATGCAATACATAGCAAAATAGTTCTTCAGTTTTTATGCTTGGGAACTTAGGAAAAATATGTAATTTGAAAAGTTCATGGAGTACGCCCCTTTTATACTTTTTCTAATATACTTTCATGAAGCTTTATATTTTATTTTTTGAATAACATGTATTTTCTTTTAAATACACCTCTTTGAAGCACAATATTCTTTATTTTAATTGCACTAGTAAATGGAAAATAAATTGTACAGGTATACTACAACGATTCGAAAAGATAAGAAAGCAAGAAAACCTATAAGAGTTGTTACATTTATCAGCATAAGCTGGTTTGCTATTCAAATCACATGCCAAATAAGCAATAAAAATCCGTTTGGTTCGAAATTATCAAAAAAGAATATTAGGATATGAATACGTTAAGGTTAAGTTTTAGGTCAAAAATAATACTAAGTGTAGTTTTGCTTGTAGATCGGTCAAAATGTGATAAAATGCTACTATGACAACGCATGTCTGACAGAAAGACTTAGCATTTATCTTTATATATTCACGGAAAACAGCACTTCAATCTTTGCATGTACAAGAATCTTTGACTCGAGTGTCTCCTATCATAAATAAAAGACATTATTTTCTCAATACTAATGAATATCGATCAGTAGTCGAATGGTAAGAATGTTCGCTTGTCAAGAAAATATGTCAGGTTTAAATCCGTATGTAAGTATTATGTTCATATTTTCATGCGTGTACATGCCTGTAGAATAAGTATTTTCTGTGTGTAAATGGCAACACATCGTATACATGCTATCATTCATTTTTAAATATTTTTTTTTGCTAAACATGCGTGAACCTCCAAAAGCTATACTCGCGGAAACTCGCGTGTAATCATTCCAACTTTTTGCATGCACACGCGAATATAGTTCACCCTGTGACGCGTTCACACGCATGCAAGGTTATAGTAATACATGCATGAACACGGGCCTATTATCGCGTATTTACATGCATGTTTTTTAAAATTATGTTTGACTGGGTTGAAGATAATCATACATCGTTGGTTGTTTGTGTTCGTAGCTTAAATCAATGTTTTAACAAAATAACCTGAAATTTAGTGTCTATATTAATAGTGATCATTTTTAATACTCAAAGTCGCATGATTTTGTATTTATTTCGTTCTTTTTAATATTTTCGAAACTCGCATGTTTTAAAAAGGAGAGTTGTAGGTGTAAATTATAAGGCGAGAGTTTTAGTCTTCCCTTCAAAATCATGGTAACTAAGTTCAATGTGTGACGACGACAGTATAGATCAATGGTTTTAACGCCGCTAACCAATCAGAGACTAAAGTCAGTGCGTACTTTCTCATAGAACCTAAAGACAATAGGCGTGTGACTTCTTGTCTATAGCTCCTAAACAGCGAAGAAAAAAAGACGCAGAACAATAGTTACAAAAAGACCAATGATTTGGAAATCTTCTATAGCCTCCTTAAAATTCAAATAGTTGAAATATGATTTTCAATGTTCTAAATGATGCAATGTCTAATCTTTGTGCAGATAATGGATTGTATGATAGATTTTAGAGATGAAAGCTAGTAAGCTGTTGATTTACCACAGCCGTTATATAAACAGCAGTTCAGTTAGAAACTGATCAACTTGTAACTTGCGAGAACAATCAATACCAATGTTTCTCACATTATTGAGATAAGCAGTAGAGTGTTGAGACATGTCGTATAGATAACAGAGCAGTACTAGTAAAATACACTCTGAGTCGAAAGATTAAAAAAAATTAATGTTTGGCAAGATGACGTTAGATGAAGTTGTGGCAAATGCCTGATAGCTTTAGTCAATTACAAAATATGTAGTAGAACTACATTTGAATTCATTTTCCAAGTATATATTTTGCTCAGATTGTACCTCAAAGTAGTGTCCAGTATACTCAGAATTTTAAGCTCTATCAACTGGTTTATGTTCCCAGTAAGACAGCGCTTAGATGGATTTAGAATATATTTTTAAAATATTGGATAATACAAGTATTTAAGAGGCTTATCTGTCAGTTAAATCTAACGTCTAGAATAATAATAATAATAGTATTGATTTAATAAAAACGAATGAATAACAACAGCACAGTAAATCAAAAATATACCACACGTAAAAACTTAAAAGCAAAAAGCTCTATTTGAAATGTAGAAATAAATAAATCGGATTGTCTGTTTGACAGTCAAATGTTCTTGGAAAGAAACGATGTTCTGTTAGAAAATTTCATTTAACATATTTCGAATTCGTATTAGGAGACTTAAAAAAGACATGTGAATTCTACGTTTCAATACGAAAGGATCTGCGCTACAAGCTTTTTTTATTTGCATTTAATAGCTTCAATAATAAATATAATGGCAGCTGAAATTATTTGTTTAGTTTCACACGCTTCAATATAACGTTTTTGAAAGTCTTTGCTTTCTTCTTCAGTTAGAACACCTTTTGTGGCCATTAATTCTCCCATTTCTCAAACTTTAACCTCATATTTATCTTGACTTGCTAAGAAATAACCTGATTGAAGAAAAGCTATTGGATTCGAACTTTTGATTTCAAAATTCATTTTTGGTAACATAAATTGTAAACAAATAGCAGTTCCCCCATCTCTTTTAATTGGTAAAATAGCATCATATGTTTGAATCAGAACTTCGTCGGGGCTATAAATATTTCCAACACCACCTTCTAATGCTATTAATCGGCCATTAACTTTCAATACTCATTTAATTTCCATTAAAGCTTTTTCAAGATCTACATGCTGAAGACTAATATAGGAACGTACAATATCAAAAGTTTCGTCACTAAATTTCATTTGAGAAAAATCACCACACATTATCTGAATAGATACATTTGATGGTAAACGATCTTTTTAACTTTCATATACTTTTTTCTTCTTCTTCAAGCATAGTTGTATTTTGATCTAAACCAATAATTGAAAATGTTTTACCTAAACGACCACCTTCTTCTGCTACTAACATTAAATGAATACCTAAACCATATTCAATATCAAGAATTTTAATTTCTTGTGAATTATCAAATTGATCCAGTTTCATAATTTTAATAACACGTTCTTTTGCATAAACCCAAACTTGGGTTAAACGTTGTCTTGATAAATGCTCAACAAGATCAAGTTTTAATCCTGATGTGAGCGTATTTTTATTATCTTTCCATACATCACTAAAGTCTTCGTTAGCAAGACGCTTCTTTTCGGTCATTTTCTTGTTTTGTAGTTAAAAGATATTAATAGTAGTTAATTTAATTTTAAATGTCACTCTTTATAGATGTGAAACCTATTAAAAAAACATGATTACGATAGTAGAACAAATATTTTATTTATTATGAAACAATGACAACATAAAATGCATATAAATAATATGTTGACAAGAGAAAGCAAAACATTGTTATTTGTCATTGAAATCCGAAATACAACCAAAACATTTTAGTTTTGAGACCGCTTCACTCCTTTCGAAAATGTCACGTTCCGTCAAAAAAACGGAATTTAAGATAAATGGGAATTCGACTATTTTGAAAGGTGTACGTTAAAAATCAATATAATTTCGGAGTTTCTTCTCCATATAAAAGTTAACTTTCGACCAAAGAAGCTGATGTGTACTACAAAAAACTCATTTTTCGAAAATGAATAAGTTTTTGAGAACAAGAGATAATTTGATACTTCACAATGTATGCTATCTAGATCAGATGGTTAATAATGAATAGTTTATTCTGGACAAACATCTTGATTAATGTCTGCTGTGACTAAATTTTTTGATCGCAGTTAGTCTTTCGAACTCAACATGAGTTACGATCTTTCTCCCTCAGTGATGCATATTCTGACGAGAGTTTTACAAAAGTATAATCAAATAAAAATGATCAACTTATTAATCAAGAAGAAAAATATTATATTTTTAATTAATTCAATTCGAATCAATGGTATAGTAACATAAATGTGTGCTTTCCTTTAATTGTATTTCTGACAGAATCTGTACTTCTTTTATATGTGTTATTTGTTGTAATATTTATGTCGCACGAAAAACTATAAGTTAAGAAAATCTTAAATTTTGCTTAGTTTTAATCTCTCCTGTAATATTAATGTTTAGTTGTTTTGATTTAGAAAAAGCGAATAAATTATCGCAATAAGTAAGAAATATAAAATTACTTGCGTTGTAGAAAAACTAATGCAATTAACACAAACGCACGATGCGTGACTATGTTAGTGACCATGAGTCAGAGCAGTTACACGAGGCATTAGTCTTCAAGTATCTTAATTATGCAAAAAAACTTTTGCTAGAAATATCAAGTAGTCTATATAATGGAGATTATTTCTAGTAAATAATTGCCAAGAAAACTAAAAAAGACTACTGCATTTTATCGAAATAATGTCTAAGTTATCATGGAATAAACATATAAAATGCTTTGTGAATATGAGCAAAAGAAAAAATAAGATCTCTGCTTATAAAAAAAAACGAAAGACAACTACGAAAGTTATACTTCAATAGTTCAGTTAACGTCATTCGTATATTTTCATTTTCGATTATTTAGACAATAATAAGGTGCTTGTAACTTTGGATATCTGTCTTGTTCTAACTCATTGTCACATTCATACCGGACTGCTCCAGTAAAATATATTTATTTTCAGAAAAATATTCAGTTGTAATGAAAATTTTTTCACTTTATATATGTTTCAAAACTAAGACAAGTATAAAACTTGGAAAAATAGCCATAAAAGTCACTAATACCAAACCTCTTATGTAAAGTGAAAAAAAAAAGAAGAATATACTTGTTCAAATCCTAATGGGTAAATGCATAGATCAAATTGATATAATTAGTGCAAACTATAAGATACGAAACTGAAATTATTCTTGTGAACACAAAGCAACAGTCCCATTGCGTATACAAAATTTCAACCCAAAAATATGTCATAATATGAAGGTCCTGTTCTGAAGACGGATGAGACAATTTTTAGATGCAATTTTTAGCAGATTCTGATATTTACTTTAAGAATATATAATTATTCAGAAGACAAGAAAATGCCTTGGCGACCTTTCTCAAATACTATCTTCTTATAAAGTATTTTTTTATATTCAGAATGACAATTAATTGCAAGATTTACCTAAAATTATCGATACATTTTCAAGTATTATCGTAAAAACTTGTGGACATAAGAGAAACTTCAGTATGACAATACATCGATATTATTTTAGGTTCTTCATGTGCTCGTGAGCATCATCACTGAGTCTGTCACCTAAGTCATTGCTAGTTAGTCAATATTCTCTCAAAAACTATTTCAGTGTACTAAATGATAGCATAGTTTTTTGACCAAAAGTGATTTTCTTCTGCTAACGCTAGGTGAAAAAGTATACAATCAAACTGCAACTAATCCGAAACAGGAAATAATTTTTATTTTGCCATTCATTCAGTCGACTCATATTTATTTGCTGTAGTGCTGCTAGGATTGGATGGGAGCAAGTAACCAATAAAAAATATATTATTTTGTTTTGAAGAGTATTGACTTAGCTGCATGTTCATTTTGTTCTATTAACTTTTTTGTTGAACGATAGATGCCTATCAAAAAAAAAAAAAAAAACTTACATTGAATAATCATTTTAACAAAATTCATCACTTTTATATTTTCTCTCTTAATTATTTACATAATTATCTATAATATTCTAACTTTTATACACTATACAAAAATGTGACGTCTCCTTTCACAAGGCAATTGCTTTTCAAACGGAGTGCAAGAGATTTATCATACATACAGTTACTAAAATAGATATTCTTAAATGTAATATATATTTTATAATAGATTAAGAAAAAAAAACAGGAACATATATTTATCTTTTGTTTTTTATTTCTTCTTTCTTAAATTGAATTGTAAGAGAGAATAGGATGGTAACAGTCTAGACTGGCGAATCATTGCTCTATCAATATTGAAGTTAAGAAAAGAAGAAATTCAGACCGAACAAGTATGCTCATAAGCAAATCTTAGTCTTCGTACATTAACGTGCCATATGGCTCAGTATTATGATGATATTACTCAGGTTTTCGTCATCAACATTTGTATTTGTATCGCAAATCAATTTAGCCTATTAGAAACGGTTGTTTTAGATCGTTCTCTCACCTTTCGAGCGCTTACACGATCTTTGTCTGTTCTTATTCTATCGTAGTCTGTATAGTCAGTTTGAAAATGTACATTTTAGTAAATGTAGAATGTGGATTCATGGGAATAAGGGCACCCGAGGTCATCATTTTACCTTTAAGCTCAAGTCATCATCATCGTCAGACACATCTTCTAGTCGTCTTATCCATACCCACATCTGCATATGAATGTGTAGAATTTGACATATGTTAGCATTCTTGGACAACACAGAAATTACGGTGTTACTGTATCAATAGTGACGCTATGAGGTCACGTCTTCATTTCTATTATTATACATATTTTTTCTTCAATCAAAAATTTCGATTGAAAAACAATTGCATCTATTGTTAAGGTATAAACAACTCGAGTGAAACATTCTCTCCATTTTCTTAATTATTTGAAAGATTTATGCACTAATCTACTGAACGAGAAGAGAAGTCTTCTGAAAGGAATTGTTTTGAGTAGTTGTCTCTCATTAGATCGATATGGTGTTTTTCATTATGATAGTAAATTAAATATTTTTGAGAAAAACTGTTAGCAAAGAGTTCTACTCCAAAGAATCGATTGAACGAAGTAGATCTTAATTCGACTTGATAGTTTCGACTCAGTATACCCGTTCTTTAGAATTAAGCATTGCACCTATGTATGTTCTACAAGAAGAAGCGGTCTCAATGGATTCAGATTCTTTATCACACCATGAAAGAAGGACATTGTTCAGCCCTTGATTGATCATTTTCTTACTTTGAAGATGTGAATCTTGCCTTTAGCTAGAGTCACACTCTAAATCATATGAAGAATAAAGAGTAGAGAATGAAAAACATTTAAAAATACTATCGAGCTTCATAGTGTCTATCCGAAAAAAAACTATTTTGCATTTCTAGAATAGAAAAACTCATCATTTGCGAAGATCATTAATCCTGAACGACTTTATTCACTCATGTTTTCTGACATCACACGTGAATATGTAATCTATAAAAGTGGTCAAAAGTAAGTATTGCAAGAACAGAAATTTTTGCTGGTCTATACAGACAATATATTACTTGATTTTAAGTATTTATCCTCAATACTGTAGACAAAAAATCATCAAGCTGAAATCATGCAGATATCAACAATATACACGGTTAGTCGAATTCAAAAAACGAAGATACCACAATTTTACATGAAAAAACCTCGGTTCTAATCCATTAACAATCAGATTAGTCATTCGTTATCAACTGTTTTTTATTTGAACAGTCATTTTATGTGAGCTTAGTGATGATACTTGATTAGCTGGAAAAAAAAATCTTGATAGGTTTTTTGTATCTCAGTAGACTTGATAAAGTTGATTTGAGAGAAGCATATCATTAGATATCAAATGATCAATTATAACTAGTCGACATCTATTTATCTGATTTCTTAGAATTATGATTCAATTCCGTGTAGAACAGATGTCTAATTATCATCTCAATAATCGATTTCAATCTATACAAAGGAGGTTTTTTTTATTTCAATCGATGTATAGATTGAAATAAATTTCAATAAAATTATTTGTATAAAGTTATATGCTCTCAAGAAATGTCAAATCAATTTACTCATAATAGAAAATAATCGTGATATCTACTTGAATATTTTTTATTGGGTTCATGAATTTAGTTCACAAGCAACGAGTTCTTGTTCTTACAGAATTAAAGTTCCGATTGTAGTATAGAACTTTATTTACCATAACGATCGAATACTATTGTTAATGTCAATGAAAGTATTGCATTTACTGTCGTGTTTTATCACGTTGACAGAAAAAAAAATGCACAACAAAGTTACTTGACACATTAACATGCAGGCCGCAGTCTTTTTTGTCTTCAAACATGAAAGCATGCAGATGAGGTAGTCGTAAATATATTCTTCTACTTTTTCTTTATCGATGAAAAGCATTTCTTTAAGGTTAAATCACTTTCTATTAATCATTATATACAACATTATATTCGAGAATACTCTAAAAAGAACATGTTTTACTACTCTCGGTTGCGATGTTCTGCATGTCGTGCGGTATATTTTTCGTATAGATCAACATAGAAAAAAATATTGGTAACTTACCCAAGGTTGTCATAGGTGGATGATATTTTGTGTACTTTACCATTCAATTTTCAAACAAGGTTTGATTTGTTTGAATCTTTTATAGATTATGACAGATAACATAATAGATAAGCAGTTTCTTGTGTTCGATCTCTATGAGCGACGACCTTGATCAAAACGAATTTTTTGTAAATATCAAAATAATTTTCATATAATTAGGCTTTTTTATAACTGGCAAAGATTTTAAAGGATCAATTTTTATAAGATTTTCATATCAAAATACAATAGAATGGGTTTATTTTTATAAATCTTCTCGGTTTTCTTCTTAATCTTCATTTATCATTACAACATACAAAAACAAACAAAAAAACGTCCAATAACTTACGTTTTAATGAAGTTCTCTTGGCACTAGCCCATGCAAGATATGGTTGATTTGGTTTTGGTTTGAGTATCATAGACGATATGTGTATAAAAAGAGGCGTAGATATCCAACTTAATATTACAGATCGAATAAATTGTTCATCGTGATTATCATGGCATGTAAACAAATCAGTATATTGAGCACGACAATGAACTCTAGATGTTTCCCATGTTTTTAATTCATTAAAATATTTATAACATCTATCTCCTATTCATACTTACAAAAAAATGAATATTATAAATTTTATTCAAAAATTATGTTTACTTGTTACAGTATATTCTCTCGCACATATAGGACACGTTGTTCCTATAGGATATATTTTAAAAGCAATATTTATTTTTAATTAATTAAACCTGTCCAAAAGCGTCTTTCATCTGTATTACAAAGACAAAGTTTACTTGAACATTTTTGATGTCTATCACAATTACTATCACTATTACAAAATGCATCATATCTCGTTGCTAATGTGAATTTTAATAAATAATGAAATAAATTTGATTACATTCTTGATTAATTTATCTCTTATAACTGGAAATTGAAAGATGAGTAAAGAAAGAATAATTTTTTCTATAAATATATTCATATTCGTATAATATAACGTAGAACAAACCGAATAGTTTTAACAGACAGGTATTACTGATGACTATGAAAGATAAGAATAAATGAGACGCACTAAATACATATTATTCGATAGTAAACTTTTGTTTTGATAGTTTTTAACATAGTGAGAGAAATGGTACATAAATAAGATATTCGTTAGTTCTATGAGATATACAGGATGTTACAAAAGTCTCTAGGGAACATTACGTTAATACCTCTTCTTGAGTTCGAACGATTTACATCCAAAACTTTAATCATTGCTATCGAAGTCTTTTTAACAAAAATATTTGTTAGTGCATCTTCTTTGAGGCTGACCTAAGTACAAAAGTCATATGTATTCTTTAGCTTCATGATACCAAAACAAAGTTCATAATGGGTAAAAACTCTTAAAAGCAATAGTTGTTTTTAAACAACAATCGATTGTCAGCCAACCTTACCTTTTTTTTTTTGCTATATTTTGAGTAGAAACTTTGTATTTTTTGGGTTTATGGGTAGGGTATGGGTGTGGGTGATAGTAACCGTTCTAGTCTACATCCACACCCACAACCTTGAAGCATTAATACATTGTTTACTCTATAATGACTAAAACAACTCAATCAGTGATGTATTTTCTGGTCATTAATTTATCCTTAGATCATCCTTTTTCGAACAATAGAGATAGAGTAAGAAGTCATTATACACGTTTGCACAGAAGTAAAGTAAATCAGTTATCATTTAGGCGTTTAAATTTAACAACACTAATACAATTAGTTTCACTATCAATTGAGTGATAAAGAAAAAGAATAAATAGTTCTACTTATACAACACCAATGAGAAAAATCAAAATTTCGAAAGAAAAAGATGATAATAGTAATGGGTTTTAAAATAATCTTGATGATCGTATTTTCGATGATAATGATAAAGAAGATGATCATTGCTATAATGTGTGATTGAATGGGGACATATTGTATTCATATAAATTTATTGATAAATATTTGTTTTTTTTTGTCAATTATATAGGAAATAATCATTTAAAATAAACGTTAGTTACACGAACATGCCTTAGGTCGTATACAGTGAATGCAATGGGATTTTCGTGTGTGCATATTTTTTATATCTTTCCCGTTCCCGCAGGACTCTAGGCAGATATGGGATAATTTTTGAAGTATTTAGATGGCTCATTATTATTGCTGTGATGTTTGCTTTAGTCTATAGCTTTTCTTCAGTTCAATTGATGTTATTCAATATTTAAGAAAAGAATCGTCAGTGAATTATACGGCACAAAGTAATCGATGGGTTCTTTGAATTACATTCGATATTCTAAAAAGTACTCCTTTTTTTCAATCAGTAATTTTTATGGATATTTATTGAAACACTAGCAGAAACAATAACAATAAATAGTTATTGCCAAATAACCAGGTGAATAATTACAAAGAGCAAATAATTCTACGATTGACAACAAATAATCATTGACTCATGGAATATTTTCTTTCTGTATTAAAATACATTTCAAACCAGAAAATTCTGATTGATTTCTAACAATAGCTTCAGTAACAATATAAGTCGCATCCCAAACTAATAAGTTAATTCAGAACGATAATTATTCAGTATGATTTTTATAAGTAAATTGTTGATGGAAATTTTGTAAATCAACAGAAATCGATAATACATTCTAGAAGATATAGTGATCTTTTATTCAGGGCCGATCAACGATCTTCTGTCATATGCATGTAATTCATATCGAGTTTGACGAAGTTAAATCTGAGATATCTATCGCGGTTGAAAGATCACCGCTGTTGCATCGCGATGATAAAACAAAAAAAAGCTAACATGCCGCTACCACGAGGATTGTTAGATAAATGTTTTAAGTTTCACAGCTGTGAGTGTTTTCGAGTAAAACTATTCTTACTAATCGACAAGATTCGTCGAGTCTCAGAGCATTGTACTTTCGAACATTGAGTTAGAGGCTCGAATCTATGCATTTTGTATTGCTACCCAGAAAAATCTACCCCCACCGTACCGCTGCCTCGATGGACATCTCAGGATTAAATATGTTACTGAGTTTCTTATTCAAATTAATTCGCTACTAATAATGGCTGCAAAAAAACCTTCAGGTTGAAGTATGTCGTCTCCAAACAAAACAAATTCATTTTATTCTATATTCAATTTGTTAAGATGAGTGAATTTAAAAATGAACTTATTTGTTTTACATTAACATTTAAGTAGAATATCAGTAGCAACATCTTCTGAAACATAATACAGCTCAAGTTAGAACTTCTCAACTACGTGTGCACGGTTGTATTGATGTTTAAGTACGAGACACGAATGCAGTTATCTAGCGTAGATATTCCTGTTCATATCGTTGTTTATCACAAATTTCCTTCAAATAATATTCTTGTTATTTTCTATAGCTTACAATCGTATACATATTAAATTATAAATTGTCGTGCTTTAACAGCTGAATAGGCTGGGTTAGAGCATTGTGCCGGTCAATTCATAGTCATATCATGAGTACGAGTTCCAAGCGGAGAATATTATTTTTTTTTCTAAATGATATTCCATCATCGAAAGTAAAAGAGATAGAAATTAGTATTGTATACATTTTAAATATACTCCTTTCTATCCTTCTTAACAATTAAATTACAAAAATTAGATATTGTTTTCTTTTTTTATTAAAACAATTAACAAGTTTTTTTTTAAAAATGGTCTTGACATGAGCATTGACCATTTGGATGAAAATGATGTATGCGGTTTGCGTCACGAACAACTATTTTACATTGACGAATCAAAGCAATTAATTTTGTTGCTCGATCTAGAAAAAAAAAAAAAAAAGAAAAAAGTCAAGCAGAAAACAAAGGTCGATTGAACACTTACGACAGTCACCACAAACACGAAGATTTTTCGTAATTTGAATGCGCTTGGGTTTTCTATTAAACATAAAATTAGCAGCGATAGCTAGCCGTTCACTATGTCCACAAAGAACTGATTCAATTGTTTCATCAGATTCTATCGGTCTTATAATCCAGCTTGCATCATATTTATGTCCGTATTCAATAAGTTCTTTTGATATTCGATCAGCTTCTGCATAGAGTTTATCAGATTGTGGATATGATCGATCATGAGCTCGAAATTTCTATGAAAATAGATTATATTATATGAAATATTTTGATTTAAAGACTTCTTAGAAACTTACCAAAATTTTTCCATCAACTTCAGTAAGTGATAAGCCCACTTTCTTTTTTGCCCCTAATGTATGTAATTGAATCTTAATATCTGTTGCCTTTTCCATGGCACCAGATGATGCATAAACATTAGCCAAAAGAATCGAAGCTGAAACTAATGAGTTTTTGAAATCAGGAAAAAACTTGTGCATACGATCAACAACATCCTGTGCTAATTTACTATTTTTATCATTCCGAGCACCTGATAATAAGGCAGCTAGAATCAAAACAAAAATTAATTCATTTTTTACGTTTGCTTATTATCAAACATTTCGCAACTTCAATTCGTCGAATTTTTCTTTTGATTATGTAGCTTCATTCTCTAGAGCTTTTTTTTAAATCTATACTCTTTATGGAATAATGTCTTTCAAACAAAGACATATATAGCAATTAAATATTTTAATGTATATAGTCATCCAAATAAATCACAAAGCATTTTATTGAAATATTCAATCAATTTTCATTTTGTATGAAAAGTTAGCTCTAATTTAATAAAAGCTCTCTCAACTAACTGCAATTAATTTTATACTATTCTGTTTGCTCTTTGATAAAAAAATTTATTTGAATAGATTTTTTCCCAATGTTTTCCATGATTGATGAATTTTCCATCGATTTTTAATTCAACTATCTTGTTCAGTATTATTAGAAAAGAATTTCTACGAACATCAATTCGATATGAATATCAGTCATTTGAATTAAAAAATTTTTTATGTATAGAGACACGAATATTTTATCTTTTTTTATTTCTTAACAAATTTACAAGCGATCGAAGTATTAAAAAACCTTTATCGATTCTGTAAAGCTTCATAATATATGGTGATCATTTCATACACTAAAATATATTCAACTTCCATATCGAGAACAAGTCATTTTTTTTTCGTCGATAATACAAATAAAAGCGTGATATGAAATTTATAACTGATTTGAACGTATTTTTCAGAAAACTTTGTTGACTCAGTTAGAGAGAAAATTTTTCATAAAATTTATTTTAAAATTATATTAAAAAATCCGTTCGTGTTTAATATTTCTGTTTTCCTCGGTTTTTAATTAGATTGAACTTTTCAAAAACTCTAATCTGATATTTGTTAACCTATCATAAAACACATATATATTTAAATCTCTTGAGTTCATCAAATATTAGAATTGAAATTTAATAAATATTAAATTTTTTTCTGAATAATATATTTCTTAATCGATTCAAATAAAATCACATATCAAAATAAATCGAAAATTCTATTAATGATTTAAACATTTGATCAATACTAACTATACATAATTACTGAAGATGCATGATCACGTTCAAATTTCTTAATTAATTCCTGTGCTTCTTCAAAATCAGCTGCACGACTAAGACAATCGACCTACAAAACAAAGTAATTTACGAAATATGATTTCGTTTTGTGAACGAAAACGAAAAACTTTTAATGTACCATTGTTGTATATATTATTTCTGTTTTCATTTGAATCTTGTTGAAGATCGAACGAGCTTCATCAACAAGTCCTGAATGTGAACATGCATTTAAAACACAAACATAAGTTGATTCACGAATATGTTCTTTTGGCATTTGACGAAAAAATTCAACTGCTTCAATACCCATTCCATTCAAACCATAAGAATTAACTATTCAAAACAAAACAATGTTATTATTTTTTAAAGAAAAATAACAAAAGCCAACTCATTGCTGTATATCCAATATGATCAGGTTGAGATATATTTTCAAAAATTTGTTTTGCTTCATCGAGAGAATCAACTTTGCCCTAAATTTTTTTTTTAATAAACAGAAACAACGAAAAGAGAAAATCTATTTGAACATACCCACATGTCAATCAGCGCATTTTGAATTCGATGATCGGACAGACAAATATTTGGAATACATTGAACAAACGATTTAGCTGTTTCTAACATGCCAATCTGAGCCAAAGATTTTATTAGACATAAATAAATAATAATATTTGCTTCATAACAATCATTTTTTATATTAAACAATAAATTAAAGTCGTTTTTAGTCTGATTTTTTCCATAGAAATCATAATGATCAATTTCATTAAAAATCTGAATTGTTTTTTCTGTTAGTTCATCTTTATTAAAACCTACATAAAGTAAAATGGATCTAAGAATTTCTAGCAAAAAATATAATATTAACCTGTCATCATAGCTGCATACATTGCTAATGTTTTGTTTCTTGATGCACGAAATATTGATTCAGCACTTGCTACATCACCACATTTCATAAAAGCATCAATAAGAGAAGTTAAAACATATGAACTTGAATGAAAATTTTGTGAAATATTTGATGCAACAGTTTTGACTAAATTTAATTCTTTATTTGTTCCCAATTGAGCACATGCATTAAAAAAAAGAGTGACAATCACTTTATCTGGATCATTAATTACATTGAAAAGAGCAATAGCTTTGTTCGGCATATTATTTACTATATAACCTAGGAAAATATACATTTAATAAAAGAATTTCTAATGAAAATGATAGTTTTACCTTTCATCATAGCTCCATACATTGATACCGTTTTTTTCGTTTGCGTCTGAAATACTAATTCAGCACTTGTTACATCACTGCATTTCATATACGCATCAAGAAGAGAAGTTAAAACATTAGAAACTGAATGAAGACTTTGTGAAATATTTGATGCAACAGTTTTGACTAAATTTAATTCTTTATCTGTTCCCAATTGAGCACATGCATTAAAAAAAAGGGTAACAGTCACTTCATCTGGATCATGAATTTCGTTGAAAAGAGTAATTGCATTGTTCGGCATCTTATTTACTATATAGCCTATAAAAAGATATGTGATAAAAGAATTTCTAATGAAAATGATAGTTCTACCTTTCATCATAGCTCCATAGATTGATAATACATTTTTTGTTGATGTTTGAAAAACTAATTCAGCATTTGTTACATCACCACATTTCATAAAAGCATCAATAAGAGAAGTTAAAATATATGGACTTGAATAAAAATTTTGTGAAGTATTTGATGCAACAGTTTTGACTAAATTTAATGCTTCACTTGTGCCTAATTTAGCACATGCTTTGAATAATAAAACAATAGCAATTAGATCAGGATTTTGGACATCTTTAAAAATATCGACTGCTTTTTTCGCTAAATTATTCTTGATATAACCTATAAAGACTGGACTAAAGATTAGAGAATGAAAAATAAAATGTTAACCTTTCATCATAGCTCCATAAATTGGTAATGTTTTGTTTGTTGACGTATTAAATAATGATTCAGCACGACTAACATCACCACACTGCACTTTAAGGAAAGAATAATGAGAAATGATAATTAGATGAGAGAATACTAGGATTTATTTATCTGATTAGTATTCATTACCACTTTGTCATTATAGCAATATTTTTACCTCAACCTCAACCTCACACTCACTCATATCTATACACTGTATTTACTTATGAGGCATATGGTATTGATCTCAAAGTGCCTGGAAACTTAATAAAAGGTTCTAATAAAATATGTCCCTGTAACTGCTGCAAACATTTGTATTATTTTCCTTGGAAAAGTTTTTCTTTGCTAATAACATGACATATATCTCCTTTAACAGTATAATCTTAGAAGTGTTTTGTTGGCATCTGTGTATTTTAACTTCTACATAAAATGCATATCATATTCGGCATTGACACAAAAAACTGAATCAAATAATCTATTTTCAAGCAAGTATATTTTCATAAGGATGCCTCTTAATGCTGTAAATCTAATATTGACTATATTGTGATTGATCAATCTCGAAATTGACTTTCTATAGTCAATTTTTCTCATTGAATAATAAAGATAAAATTTGAAATTGAGAGAATAAAATCAGACTTTGTTCGAATTTTGAATTACTACCACCTTAATTAGTTTGTATTAGCGATGATATAGGAGATATATATATATATATATGAGATTTAACAATTAGTAAAGATGTTAGAATTCTTATAACTGAAACACTACATTATATGATGCTGTTCTAAATCGTAATATCTTTTAGACAATTTTTTTCCATTCAAGTTCGACAAAAAGTCTTAGTCTCTTTGAAAAACAGTCAAGTTTAATTGCTGATCATGAAACTGTTTTCTTAGCTTTTGACTTAGAAATGGCAGTACTAGCAAAAAAGAGACAAAGATTTTTCGAACTGTAAATAAACTTTAAGGATATGACAATAACTGGGTGCTACAACAAGTAGCCGAAATGTAAAATTGGTTGCATGTATAACATAAGCATAATTGTTCTTCAACTTCATAGAAACTTCAATCTTTGCAGGTGCTATTCAATGACATAGCATAAGCTGATGGTGATGATGCATTTAATATAGATGGATATGTCTTATCTAATGAGCAAGCACACTGTTGTTTTAGTTAGTAGTAACTCTATGTAAACAGTTGTCTCTTGGATTTATCGAAATGTTACGAAAAGATGAAAATTATATTCATTAAGAAGTAACGAGAATCGCAATCGATTGAAGTCACTAGATAGGGGAAAATTGTATGACATTTGTAAAAATTTAAAAATAAGTTGGTACATGATCTACTATAACACTATATACACATAGAAGAATATACTAAAAATTGTTATTTATATTCTTGTTTCTTAATAGATTATTAGTTATTTGCTGAATCTTTCTGAGTTCTTTGCTTTGAAATACGATTAAAATTTTAAGAAATTTTGTTAGTCCACATTGCGATCAGTTGACATCGTCGAATTGTCTTTTGGACTATTCTCATAAACTCAATTGAAAGAAGCCACAGAAAAGTTTAAATCGATAGACATGATTTCATTAGTTCAAAGAAAACTTTTAAAAAAATTTTGGAATCAGAAAATATGAATTTCTTATCAATAAAGATTCATAATGGAAAAGTCATAGTATATTTCTTCTTGTTCAACTAAAACTTTAGAAAATACATATCTGTGATGAACGTATAAGTTCTACTATATGAAATAGAAAATTTTCGAATCGAAGAGACATTTTCTTTTATCAATAATTAATACCTCGTATTAGAAAAATATGTTAAATTAAACGTTACAACGACAATCAGCTAATGAAAAATTCTAGATGATTTTCTTCTACATCCAGTAAGTTTCGATTGATTTCAATTTAGTAAAGTGTAAATTCTTGAGGTCGGGATTTCGTTGGTTTTTTAATATACTTACTATAGAAATGAATTAATGATGGTAATACGTAAGGATCATATTTTAATCGAGATGAAATAAGATTATGAATTTTCAAACCACCTTGAACATCATGTATTCCAGTACATGCTTTTAAAGCTTGAATAATAATCCAATTAGAACATTGTCTAATATTTTTTTCGTTGAATTGATCAAATAATTCAAGAACTTGTTGATATTTTTTATCATTATTAAGAATTTTCATTTGATTACCGATGTTAACATTAGATTGAGTACTTGCTAAACGTTTTCCGGAAAGTACTGCAAATCTTGAATAATTACTTAAAAATTTGATTGGCATCATAGTATTTTTTTTTGATGAATTAGATATAGAATAATTTTAATATGAGTGCATTCCATACAAACCAATCGAATAATTCCGATGGACCATCGAATCAATATCAAAAGATGTACTGCAGAGGTCGCTGAATACAAAATGCTAGACACCATCATAAAAATTGAACATGTTTAGCAGAAACATTTATCAATGCATTAACACATTATGTTGTGCACTTTGCCTACATCAGAGAATCGTCTTCAATGTTCTCATTGGTGATGTAACTATGTAGTATTGAACATGTGTATCTATTAAAACTGAATGAACTTATTTCCGTTTTGCAGTCTGCTTTCCTTATAGTGTAGCACACTTTACTTTTTATTTTTAATCGCTCATTTGGAATGATCATTTTTGAATCAATGAAGATGCTTAAAAACATTGTGAAAGAGAACCTACCTTAACAGACGAAGAGAAATGAAAATATGAAAGCGAAAAATTCGACTTAATTTATATGTAAATCAAATAGCACATGGAACTCGTCATTAAGAAATAGTTCGTACATGTGTATTAAGACCAGCTCGACATTCTTGATTCCGATCTAAAAGTCTTGTTGAAATAGACAATGTGAAAGTAACAACATTAGAATCAATTAAACGACAAAAATCAAAACAATTTCCAAATTATAATGCAGCTGAAGAAGTTTCTATTTATGTCCAACAAATGATTCAAAATTAGTTTTGTAGTCAAGGTGTAACATGAGATGATTTAAGATATGATGAACAGAAATTGAGAGGTACGGCGAGTACACCAATTAATAGAAATACAGTTATAAAAAGAATTTCATCAATTTAAAAAACAATCACGAGGTATCAATTTTACCGTTTTCAACTGAGAAAAAAGATGAACAAAAAATTTCTTCTTTTCCTAGTATCTTAATTTAAATTGGAGGATTTTTTAAACACAGCTGATGAACAAATGCCTCATATAACATCAATGATGGTTAGTAGAGAATCAAGTTTTAGTGAATGTTTTTTTTACAATGGGAAGAAAGTTTAGTTCGAATTTTATTCTACAAAAATGAAAACTAATGAAGTATTGTATTTATGTATAAAATAATTCTAATTAATCTCTAGCTCTCGACATAAACTGAATAGTGGTGAATATTTGACATTGGCAGATATGTGTCATATAGCTTCTAATGTAAGAGATAAAATAAGTCAGAGTAAAGAAAATGTATTCATTTCGAATAATGTGTGATTAACTTAATACATTGGTTGATTGAACATCTGCATTGGATTTTATGCTTTCTTTTCATTTTATTTTTAAGCTCAAAGCAGATGAACATCCTCTAATGAAAGCACTAGCTCGACTAGGTCAACATCCTACTAGGTAGTGTTGTCTTCATGTTAAGCTATGTAACAGATGTGACAGTTTAACGAGTTTTGTCATAAATTGTATCGAAAAATATTGAACCATTGATTCCTTTTTTGTGAAGGTTTCACTAAAAACTCTAAAAATGACAGATCGATCGAATAGTTGAATATAGTTCGTTGTACGCACTGTCGATCAACTACATTTCAGCTCAAACAGTTGAATACTCAGTTTTCTCATATAAGTATGTCTGCACTAAAACTTTAAGCACTGTAGCGTGTTTAAGAGTCACCTAAAAAAACAAATTTTGAATGAAAACTCCAGTGATAAGTCTTAGCTATTTTTCTAAAATATGCGACAGATGAAAGATTTGCCTTTAGAAGTTAAAATGACCCTCTACAATGTACAATTTCATATGAGCATTAGCCTGAGATGGTCTAAAATGGTTCTGAGGGTGCGGATGTGAGTGTCGGTGTGGATGAGGGTGTGCGTGTTGCTCTTTATGCTAACCCACACCCACACGCGCCCACACCCACACCCACACCCTGCGATTACGAATTGAAAAATAAAATATTTTCATTTATATGAAAGCAAACTTTTTGTTAATCTTAGAATCATATTCATTCTAAAGATGTCTTATAAACTCATTTCTTAAGTTATTCTTCTGTTACACGTTCATTCGTACTATCACTGATAGCACTTACGACTTTCAGTCAAAGATAGAAATAATGATAGAGAATGTTCTCTAGTTGATGATGAGTTATTTATTAGAAAGGATGAAAATAAGTGAGAATAAAACAGTTTCAGAATATTTTTTTATTAATAAAAACTTTCACATAGTCAACTATTATAAAGTCTTTTCTTATAATTGGTACCAATTTGAGCTCTGCAACTAGTAAGATGACTTAGACACATCAGCATTATCAATTTACAATCAAAAATGATAACATTCAGTCAGTTTTAATAGACATCGTTGTGATATAATATACTATGATATATCAGTTTCAAAACGACACTATTTATCACATTAGTAGATTGATACGTATATACTTTGTGTAAACACTATGATTTCAAAAAAGTTATTAGCATGACTTCTTTCTATTTTTACATTTGATAAAGATAGAATAAACTAAAAAGTAACAATAGAAACAAAATCGACAAAGAAGATCGAAACGATATGAATTTATGTTTAAACTTTTTTTCAAATTTCTGTAAGGAAACTTGATATATTTTAGGTATCTGAAGTGCATCCAAATGCTGAATTAATATTACCATCATGTTCAATGTGTCAACAAGAATCGAATTGACCATTATTAGCTGTATCAAAATTATTATCTGAAGGCACAATAATCAAAGGAAGGAAACTGACAACATCAATAGTAGATGTGTTAGCAAAATCTTATACCTAATTAAACACATTTCCAATATTTATCTTGACGTTCTTGAACATATGATTGTTCACAAAGAACAACAATTACTTTACTTTGTGCTGTCCATCGTGTTACATGATCTGTACGTAATTCCTGATTACCCATAAGAACTATCTGCAGGACGTGTGTGTNTTAAAACATTGAGTTGAGAAATTTTTCGAAAATTCAAATCCCTTATGAGGCAGTATGGACTATATAGGTTAGGATATCTCTAGCGCAACCAAAGTACGTCCGTTTTCCGAAAAAATTGGAGGATATATGCAGTTTTAAATTCTCTACAAAATGGCCGAAAAAAAACTAGGGGTTAGGGGGTGGTCAGCCCCCCCTTAAGAAATATACCTTTCTTTATTTGACAGATCTTTTTTAGGATCTTGTTCAATACTATTATATGGTAAAAATATTTGATCAATGCATAAATGATTATCATTTTGATTTGTTCAAATTGTAAAATAAGACTCCATCTAGAAATAAATCAATCCTTTTTGTTTAATCAGTATCTTAAAAAAAAGAGAATTTAAAATATTTAAATCTGAGCTTTGTTTTACTTCTTTCTTACCGAAAAAGTTTTCACCAAAATGATTCGGTGCAACTGTATAAATTTCTGAAAACAAGCAATTGTTATGCCAGGATAAAGTTCACAAATATGTTTAATATCGTCAGATGTAGAAAATAACGTTATTAAAATCATATTTGATTGTTTGGATTGGTATTCTTTAGTTCGTACTTCAAGCAATAAGAAGACAATGTCGATGAACATCAAATGGTAACTTAGCATATATAGCATGACATCAATTGATAAAAATTTTACCAATTCTTATGGGTCTATGAAATTGCAAATGAGATCTGTCACATATTAAACAAAAACTGATATGTTCGGCAACACATGTCAATCAATTGGTATGGATAAACATGCAATATGAGTGGATGCTTCAATCTCGATTAGGATTTCATTTAGCTAATGATTTTAATGTAATTTTGACAAATAAGAAATGTCAAGAGAGAAAAAGAGAGATTTTAGTGAATTGTATTAGATTGAAAGAACCTCTGAATATGTAGAAATTTTTAAAAGGTTAATATATATATCAGAAAGTTATTCAAATTTTTCTACCTCATTATGCATTGAATGACACAAATTGAAGTCAAGAGTTTCATCCGCACCCTTATATAAATTTCGTCCTTTTTCATTTGCATTATTGTGGACTAGGTAATACTTTTATTTTAAATTTCTTTTAGAAGTCAAAAAGAAACTAAAAAAACTATCTTATAGTTCTAGTCATCAATGCTAATATTTAAGTTTCTCTTGACTCAAGCCAATTCAAAAAAACACATACTTCATTTCCATATTGTTTTTATATCAAAATCAATTTTCTGTGCTTATGTTTAAAAGTACTGGAAATAAGAACTGAACATCTCCTGCTAATTCATTCAAAACTTAAGAATATATGAATGACAACCAAGAGAACATATCTGAGGTAAAAATCATCAATAGTTATTATCATGGATTCTTAACATAGATTAATCCAATTATAACAAGTTTTGTTATATGAAAAAGATTAGAAAAAAAAGCTTGAACAATTTCAAATTCATAGTTACATGATATTGAATAAATTCTGCATTTATTCTTGATCTATTTGACAACAATTTATGAAATTTTGATTTGTACAAGACAGTATAATATCAGTCTGAACTTAGAAGAATAATTCTTCTGCCTAATTCCCCTTTTGATTTCAATGAGTTGTTGTTCATAGATAAAATTTTAGTTCCTATTGAGATTTGAGTAAACTATTGAATTTTTAATATGTCCATCATCAGAAGGAAGGAGAAACATCCTTAGCTTTCAATTATCTTCCTACACGAAGCGTAGTCTACCAGTAGATTCACTAGTTCGATATCTGTAGCTCTGATCTCTTCAAGATATGAGACGTTCAAGATCTAGACCATTTTCTATCGATAGTGTATAAAGAACATACATTTTTTGAAAGGTTCATATCTCGAAGAGAGTATGTTCAAAATTCGAAAATATAAATTTTCCAAAAGGGTGTGGGTGGGAATATGATTGTGGACGAAGCGATGATCCACACCGAACCCACATCCACTCGCATCCCAACCTCCACCTCGACCTCGACACCCACATCCTCATTTTTTCAATTGATGAGTTATCAAGTAACTCGTAACTGTATTAAACGGTATATTGACGATATTTGGTCGAATGGAAGCGATACTTCGTCTTTTTGAAAAGTTAACCAGAGAAATTAACTGGTAACTTCTCCGTTATCCGTTACTCAGTGACACCAACTTTTTCGTTAGCAGTTACCTGGTAACGTAACTGGTTGGTAACGGCAACTTTTCACCTCTAGCAAAGCGACTTTTGTTAGACGATTTGTCTTTCACGCTGACAATTCAACTCAGTGATCATCAATTTAAGAACATAGCTGTTACTATCAGCATCTTCACGCATCTGATAACCAGGCATAAAAAGTGTTGCCCTTGCGCAACTACATTGATCTATTTGCATTCCATTTCGTATGCAACTTTGACGGATCCAGTTATTCAAGCTCTGCAAAAAGTAGTCAGATCACTATCAGTCGGTAACAAAAATCAATATATAGTCCAAGCAATTTTGCACACCACCTCTTAGCCCATGGCCAAGCAGACAGTTTCTTTAGAACCTCTGATTTTCTGATTTGTTACGTCCTGATGATTCTTACTGATCCTAAAATATGTTTCCAGGCCTGAATCAAATGGAAGGGAATGAAGGTTCACAAGATTTACTCTGAGGTCCTGTCCTTTTATCTCTACTTAGATGACTATTTACTTCATGTTGGTACGAGAGCACATTTTTAGCAACCTCTTGTCTTTACAATTTTCTAGTACTTAGCACTCGCTAATGATCTTAGAAAAAATGGCTCCGGGTCTGAATTAACTAGTGGAGAACGAAGGTTCACAAAGTTTGCTCTGAGATCTTTTTATCCCTATTTAGCGGACTATATACCTCATGTAGTGAAGTAAAGAAAAAGTTTAACCGATCAAGCTGAAATATTCAGGGATGACTACTATCATTATGTTGAGCATTTGCTGAAAGTTTAACGTAAATCTACCTTCACTTTCTAATTGGACCAAAATTTCCCTAAAACGTCCCTCGTCCTTTTCGTTGAAACCTCCGTAACCGTCTGCATAGATGTTGGATTGAAATTCTTGTTGGTAAACTGTGCTGACACAAAGACACTCCAGATCTTGCAATCGCTAATGAAGAAATTAACTTTGAACTCAAATACTCATGGACAACTTTCTATAAAAGCTGTTCTTCTTTAGAAACTCATCCATAACTTCACGAATCCTACTTTAGTTTCTTCATTATCGATTGCAAGACCTGAGATGTCATTGTGATAATACAATTCATCAACAACAATTCCAATTCAAAATCTATGTAGACAGTTACGGAGGTTTTAATGAAAACTTCCTCACTGATCCAACACTGTACTAGTTCATTCTTGGATCCGAGAGTGGCCTACAACATATATGTAGATATATATAAAGAGAGTGACGCATACAAGAGAAAGGAAAAATGCAATGATGTATATGTGAAAACATAAAGGATGTGAAATGATCGAGTTCGTAGGAATTTTGGTGTTTGAAGTTGAAATATAAATGTTATAAGCAGAGACATTAAAAATAAACGAAAACACACCTGACTCAGACTTAAGATCTAAGTTTGATGCATATGTGATTAAAAAAACCCCATTACATTTTTTTGTGTCTTTTTTTTTACGTTATTAATACTCTGTTGGGTCAAAAACGTTTTGGCCTATCAATAAAAACCTTGCCCATTTTGTCCATCCTTTTTCTTCGACACAAGATACGTTTGCCCATTGATCTAAAAATCCTGGTTACACTACTGGCAACTCACCAGGATTTTCATGTCCACTCACTTGTTAATTCTTTAGAAAGTACATGAGATACACTTAATCTGCCTTTTTACAAAATATTCAGACTAAAGATATAAATATACATTTTCATATAAATATCATTCTGGGTGTGGATATTGGTGTCGGTGTGCATGTAAATGAGAGCCTAGCAAGGGGGGAAAAGCGAGACTCCAAAGTTGGAGTACAGCTGGAGTACGGGTGAAGTACAGTGAAGTCTAGTGAGTACGTACTCCAGGTAGACTCCACTGTACTCCGGAGTACGAGAGTCTCGCTTGTTCTCCCTTGACTTATTATTACACTAATCAAACCATTGTTGTAAATATACATTTAATTTCATCTCCATCATTTAGAATACTTTAGCTCAAACCATATCTGAGGATAAGAAAAAAGAGCAGATTGAATGATATGTAGTGTTCGACACTATACTAACTCGAAGACAATGATATCCTCTTAAATCGAGCTATTTATCTATTTTCGTTTGTTTTTATAATGCGAGCATTTTGTCTCTCTCCACCGATTCTGCTTTGTGAACATTTTTTTTTGTGATTAAGGGAAAATGTCATGAATTCAGAAGACACAATCTAATATATGTGGTTCTTGTGACTAACTTTGAAACAGTTCAAGCTCAGAAGTTTGCAATAATAAAACAGTTTATTCTACTTAGGAAAATTTTTCAGGTTGAATTGTTCGAGGTGTAAGTACAAATAAAATGTGTATCATAGTTTAAAATAATGCTAATTTAATGCTAACATCTCGACACTAGCTGTAGTTCTTATGAAAAATAGTAACACAACATAAGGTGACACTTTAAAACTGACAGTTAAATATAAGCATGAGTACTAATTAGTATTAAGATTAATTGTAATGCGATATCCTATATCAGATAATACTTATTCTTATAATCAATATATGTCAATATGAATTCACAATAAAATGTATTTTTAACTGTAAATAATTGCATCTAATACAGTAATGCCAATTAATTCTGCTGATATATATGGATCTGATGTTAAAAATTCCACAGATATATTGACTTGTTTTCCTAAAATTGAATCGATTTTTGTAAAACCATCTTGAGTAACGATTATTGGAAGTTCTTGAACGACCATAGTAAAAGCTCGTGGATAATTGGCAGCTAAAAATGCTGCTAAAACATCATACATTGTACTTGTACCATTTTCTGGACTAAAAGGTTTTATAGCACCATTATATTTTCCTCCATTATTATACCAAACGGTATAAGAATCAATAACTAATTGAACATATTTACTTTGAGTACGAAATGAAAGAAATGTTTGCCATTCAGGGCCATAAAATTGCATAAAAATCGTAGTATCAAGTGGAGCTAAAGCAAAATAAGACCATGATGCATTAAATACCATTTGAGCTGCGGGAATGTCAACAACAACATTGTATTCTTTTGATGGTTGACTTGAATTTCCATAACCACGATAGATCGATCCTGCCATAGCAAATAAACGAATATATTTCAATGTTTCTGGTTGTAAACGTTGTAAAACATGTCCCAATGATGTTGTTGGTGAAATTTCAATAAAATTATAAATGTTATCTGAATTGGCTTTTTGCATTTCTTTTAATAAAGCTTCTTCACCATTTTCATATACTATTCCTCCATCATTTTGAAACTGATCAAGAGTGTAATTTTGTGCCCATTCATATTCAAAAATATCTTTCGAACCAGTGTTTTGACCAATAGCAATGGGTACATTAAAACGATCAAATGTTGCTAAAGTTTTTGCAACAATTTGACCACGTGCTGTCGTATTATATGTTGAACAAATAACAAGTTTCAAATCGAATATAGATGGATTTGCTAAAATATAAGTTAATGCCATTTGATCATCATAATCTGTACCAATATCTGTATCTAAGATTGTTGGAATCGATTTGGTATGAATTCGATTAATTGAAATCGTAAAGCACATTAGAAAAAGTGTTGATATCTTCATTTTTCTTCTTTTTCAAAAAGTAAATGTTTTTAGTTCTTTTCAACACGAAAAGATAAAAATGAAGAAAGTAAGTACCTTTTTTTATCTTTGTTTATCTTGCCCATTCAACATATCTTTGTTAAAGTATGATGTTCATAATTACATTCTTCAATGTGTAAGTTAATAGTGTATTATGAAACAGAATCAACCAAAAAGTTGATACATATTTAATATAGTTTTTCAAAATGTATCACGTTAAATGCATCAATGAAAATTAGATTCTAATCATTAATCAAAATTACGAGTGTACATCAGTCAAGTGGCTTTACATTTTCGATAAATAAATATTTTCAATATAACACATTATAGAATATATGTAATAAGAGACTGAAAGATAATAATTACAAAGGCTACATAATTTATTGAATCGGTAGTCAGCAATAGCTCGAGATAGTTGACATTGGCGTAGAGTTAAAATTGTTTTCTAACAGAACTCAAGAAAAGTTATTTATTCCGCTTGAGAAAAACGAAAATTCTCTATGATTGAAGGTTGTTACATGCTCAAGAGCCTCCTCCCTCACTTCTGGTCAATCCACCACTGTGTACTTAAGAAAGCCAAGTCAGAGCGGTAGATATTTCGTTCACAAACTCCATTAATCACTCATTAACTATTAACGAAAGACAAACGCGACACTCTGTTTTATTAATATATTCTAGAGTTATGTACTTCGGCTACGTTATAATGGAAAGTTCCCAGCTCTAATAGATACATTAACTGAAGAGTTCTCGACAGAAATTTTATAGTGAATTACAATATATAAGAATAAAGTTTGTATTATGCTCTAGGAATATCATTTTTTCAAGACTGTGTAGTACAGCTAGTAGATAATGCCATGCTTCAACCTAATATAGCTACTTTCATATTAATTCTCATTCATTCTAATCCCAATACTGCACGCTCCAATGCAGACAACTAATCTTCAAACTGTCCAAAGAATATTCTCAGTCAATTCTTGACATACGGAAGTGTTTTCTCGCTTCGGTAGATAAATAGCAAAAAATGGACTTTCTAAATTACGTGCCTAATTTTCGAATCATGAATGAGAAAGTATCAATCATTTATTATCCACTTGTAGCCCAATTCATAGTTCTTCATTGCTCAAAAGATGAGCTCATTTGTTTGTTTAATAGAGATCTCAGAGTATTGACAAATTCACGATGTTCATCGAATGTGCCATTCATATTTAGTAAGGTATTTCCTTCTGAATTTTTTAAAACGCCGTGTCCAGTCATGAGAGCATATTTTCTGAAAATTTCACTTGGATTTACCAAACTCTTGCTGAGTTACTGATCGCTTAATGATATTCTATAGTTTTTTGCATATTTATGTTTTCAGCAATAATACTCAAATTCATCAATAACTTAATGAACTTTGATAAAATTTATATCAGAAATCACTACAATACACAGCTATAAAATGAGAACTTGACCGACTGAAAAGATCTTTCTATTCTCGAACTATAAGATTCATAGTGATCATGGACGCTACTTATCGTGACTATATTCTAGCTTAAGGAATTTCGATGCTAGTGGTACCAAAGATTTACATTATTTGCGAACCACTTGCCGGCAAGTTTTCAAATATTTAGCTTTGATAGATACTAAAATACGATTAGACGAGACACTTTAGGCCAATGTTGTATATTATCTGAGCCAGAAAAGAATAGCTCTAAATACGTTTCTACTGACTTGTTCAAAAGCGTTAGTATATCTAGTTTTATTATATTAAATATGTTTACAAATGAAACAGTAAGCACAGCAAAAGAGAAAAAAATAGGTTAAATTGCACGCATACTGTTATGCTGTTTTTCTATAAGATTGAATTAAAATTAATATTGCTTGATGCTGAAGATGATGATGAATTAGATGATATATTCTGTTCATCTAAATGTGTTTTTTTATGTAATTTTAAATGGACAAGTTGTGTAAAACGTGCTGAACATGAATGATTTGGACATAAATATGGTTTATCTCCAGTATGTAAACGAAGATGAGTCTTCAAATTTGATGTTGATGAAAATCTTTTTGGACAATATGGACATGAATGTGGTCGTTCACCTTTTAAAATATTTTTAAAAAAAGTAAAATTCAAAAAAAAAAAAATTAATTTCATTTTTTTTATTTACCTGAATGAACAAGTGTATGTTTTTGAAGATGAGCAAATTGTGTAAATGATTTCGGACATTGTGTACATACAAATGGTCTTTCATTTGTATGTGTTCTTAAATGTACTTTAAGATTTGATAATTGACTAAATGTTTTATGACATTGAACACATTCATAGATGATTTTTCCATTTTCTTTTCGTAATGGATATGGTAAAGATTTATGACCACGACCATGAACTACAGTTGTACTTATTGTTGTTGTTGTAGATGATGAAGATGATACTGTTGTTGTTGTTGTTTTTGGTAAAAAACTTTTACCTAATATTCTTTCAATAGAAAAATTTAATTGTGATGATTTATTAGCTGTTGAATTAGATTGTGTTGATGAATGCATTTTTTCACAAACTATTAAATAATCAATTTGTTTTTTCGAAAAAACAAACGATTAGTTCGATATGTACCTGTTGATTGAATAGGAGTTCTTTGACGAAAAGTTGAATTTGATATTGAACAATTTCGTTCATCTACTGATTTTAATGGTACATTTGAAGAATTTGTTTGTAAAGTATATGGAAAAAGAAATGGTAACTGTAATATAATAAAGTTTTAATAAATTCAAAGAAAAACAAAATTTTTTTTTTTCTTTTTCAATAGTCTTACACGAACATCTCCATGGCCTGAAAATTGACGAAAAGGCCATCGAGCATGAGATGGCTATTTGAATTTAAAGATAAAGAAAAGAAAAAGAACTTTCTGTACTTTATTACCTTTTGTTCATTAAACCATCCTGTTGATTGTGGTGCAATCATTCGATGAATCAATTCATTCGGAGGAATTATTGTATCATCCTGAGTTTTAATTATAGGAATATGGCCATACGGATACTGTTTATTACGAATCATGTCTATAAAATATTATGATAAAACTCTTAAATGTTTTATTTTCTCATATATGTTACTTTTAGTTGTATCACTTTTCATCATTATCATCAGTCGCAGGCAACATCTAACAGTTGGAAGTACTTACCAAGAAAAGAAAGTTAATTATTTCTTCATAGCAAGCAAGAAAGAGAAAAAAAGAATTTCATCCAATCAATTTTCTCTCCGAGAATATCTTTTTCTCTCTTATTTCTTTTTTTTTTTCTTTTCCAACAAACCAATGAGAACAAAAGCAATCAAATCTATTTTGCCCTCGTTTTCTTAATAACAGACATTTCATCTCGATTGACTGGTCTACCCTATTCTAAAATAAACAATTGTATAGTTGACTGTGTGTTTGAATAATTGATTTGAAGTATATTATCAGGTATCTCTATTACATGATTATAAAAAAAAAGAACCTATTAAACAACAATAGACACAAATCGATAAGAATTTCGTTCCATGTTTTTGTTGATGATCACATATAAGTATAACTACTTAAAATTAAAATAGAAATAAAAGTTTATTTAAAAAAGAAAAAAATAACAACATATAAATGTCCACTTGAAATTCTATGATGAATAGACAATCTGTTCGAATAAATAAATGTTGTTTTTTTTTTATATTCTGAAACCATGTTGTATATTTTTATAAATTAAACCAAGTAAAGAGGAAATATGTAATCGACAGTGTCAGTTTTCTATTTTGATGAAAAAAAGAAAAGAAGAGAAGACGAGATCTGAGAAAATTTAATTTGTGGGTAAAGCAGCAATGGGAGAACTGTCATTCGATTGAATTGAGATTCATTCTATTTTATGTTTGTCTCATGTTAATTCATGCTTAAAACTTGATTCGTTTGTATTCGCGTCATAAGTTAATCAGTGTCGAATGGTGTAATCATCGACTTTCTTCTTTTCCGTGTTCTTCTTAGTTTTATTCAATGAAATTTGAGAACAATAACAAAGCAAATCGTTTGAACATAAAATAGGGTGGAGTCATGTCGCCGTCTTTTCATATAGAAAAAAAGTTGATAAGAAAAAGAAAAAAAAATGAGACGTATAAAGTGCTGTCAAATGACATTTTGCTTCTGTTGTTGTTGATAAGAATTGAGTCTTTGTCTTCTTGTCACCCCCCTGTGCACACATTCTTTTTCTTTTCAATAATCATCACGATAATTAGAGAGGCTAAAAATCACCTTTATATATATATATATATGTATACATATGAAAAGGTGTAGAGATAATGAAACGTACTGGAAAATTTATTTTGACATGCGAAATATCAATAATGCATTTACTTAAGAAAAAAAAATGATAGTAAACAAGAAGATTACTTGAGAAAATAAATATATCAATAGATTCTTCCATCAATCAAGGAAGATGTGTTGAAAGATGCAATAAAAGATATCATTATAGAGTTACTGACATAACATGGAATGTCTATTTTCTTTTTTTTTCTTTTTCTTTTTTGCTTTCTAAACTCGAACAGTTTTTGATGGCATTGTTGTATGACGATTTGTATTTTGTCGACATTGTCGTTCATGTTGAATTAAAAGATTTCGATCCGATGAAATTCTTTTATGACAATTTGTACAATGTGTTAAATCATCAAAAAAAGAATCATTATTAAATGATGAATATGATGATGGAATATGTACATTATTTTGTTGTTCATATAAATCAATTAATTCATTAAGAAACCAATCTTTTGCCATTGTTGAATGTATAACAGGAATATTATTTATTGGAGAAGATTTTGATGTTGAACGTTTATGATTATAATGATGTCTAGAACGAGTATTTGAAGCTGGTTGAAATAAACGATCATTATTTAAATAGATTGGTGATGAAGAGTATATATTACGATTATTCTCAGGATTATTATTCATCGTATCAAAAATATAAGTATATAAATTACGATAACTTGGAGAATTCATCATATTTGATGTAAAATCTGATTCTTGAAAAAATTGTATGTCATTTAATATATCAAATGGATCAATAGGAGAAGACATAAAGTTATCGAATGCATGAAGATGAAATGAATCTAAAGAAAAAAATAAATAAATATTAAATAAATTTTTTATTCTTTAATAAATGCCTGGTTTTTTTTACCTTCATTTGGTTGTGTATGATGCATATTTGTTGTTTTAGTTGCTGTTGTTGTTTGATATCGCGTATTTTGCTTCTGGTGAGCTGATATTGATTGCTTTTGATCATACTCACGTCTTCGATTTTCATCACTTAATACTTCATAAGCTTGTTTAATTTTCTTAAATTTTTCTTCAGCACCTTTATCTTTATTTCGGTCTGGATGCCAAATAAGTGCCAAACATTTATAAGCTTTACGAATATCAATTGATGTCGCATGTCTATTAATATTTAATTCCTTATAATAATCAGCTGTAGATGAACTTGAAACCATTTCGTAACTTTCTTGTTGAATAAATAAAAGAGAAAGATGGGAGAATAACTATTAGATAAATAACAAAAAAAAATATTTTATATTATGTCCTTCTATTCAACAATCTAATGAGTGGCGTAACAAGTATGTGGTATACTTGTTCTTATTAATGAACATGAATATACATATGTGTATTCGATGTAAAGCTTGGTAATGAAAAAGAAAAAGAGAGCAAAACGAAGCATGAAGGTAAATGAAATGAAAGTATAGAAGTCCTTCGTCATCTTTTTTTCTTTATGCGAAAACATGATAGTCACGCTTGACCTACTATTGATCATGATTATGGTAAAGATGAGATACGTTTTAGTACGTTTATATTTTTATTTGAACACTAATGAACATACTACGAAGTAACGGTTTATTGAATCTTACATAAGAAAGAAAAAGCTTTTATCGGTTAAAAACAACATTTGATTACTTTTCTTTTTCTTTTCGTATTACCGATGTAAAGAGAAAATATTACATCTAATTAGTTTGTTTTAGATTCTAGAAAATTTGATGATGATAACAATTGATTACATAGCAAAGATATTATTTGCAATATTTCTTATTTAAAAATGATCATTAAGATTTTACTCAATGATTTATATTACAAATAGTAAATGGTTTCATCGATGTGCTTTGCTAAAGGGAATATAATGATTAGAGTTCAATATTGATCGATTAGAAATTTTATATGTAACACTAGTCAATATTCAATCTTTAACAATGAATGATTCAACAGAGCAAAAAATAAATGAATTTAAATGTATAAATCGTTTGTCAATTTAATTTTAATTTCGATCAATTATTTTTTTTTCTTTTAATGAATTGATTTTGAAAAGTTTTAAACATTTGTAAAAACTTAGTTGAGTAGTCATACATACTCAAATCATTTTTAAGAAAGAAAAAGATAACTGGGAAAAGAACTTCTTTCAAGATTACTTATAAATTTTGCATAGATTAATAATTAAAGAATAATTTGACGTTTGATTCGTAAAACTTATCAAATAGTAAGATAAATCAATACTTTGTGCTTCTGATATCTCAACGTGATAGAAGATGCAAACATTTATTTTTTTACTATGAAGATTTATTCAAAAATTATCTAGAAGAAGCTTTCAAATATACAAAAGACATTATATCAATGTGATAATTTTACAAATGCGTTTAATGGAAGAATCATTTCATGAACATAGTTATTATTTCGAGAACTTGTGATGTATTATTCGATAAGTCTTGTACTATTCGATTGATGCTCATATTCAATGAAAATTCGAACAAAGAATGAATATGAATCTAATAACGGAAAATAAAATTAAGCAATGAATTAAGATGATGATAAAAAAAAGTTTAATAACAATATTTTTTTTTCTGTTATATTAAGAAGAGAGCTCGAATACAGACAGTGATTTTAATAACCAATCGAGTTTTCTATTTAATGTATTCTATAGCAAGAGCTCATAGATTAACTATGATGGCAAGGCTTCTAAAAGAAGTGGGACACAGTAGTTATCAGGTTCCAGAGAACTTTATCGGACCTATTATTTTGAACAATGCCATTTTAAAGAGTACGAAATTGTGAAGAACATAAGAGATCGCCGCATTTTCTACGATCTAAACTTCAAAAGTTAAAAGTTTTACAAAAATCGTAAACAAACGACTAAAGAATGCCTGTTTTTTTATTTTTGTGATGGTTTTAACGTTCTAAGAGATGGTCGTAAAAAATGTGTCGATTCCTGATATCATTGGTTATTATAATCATTATCTGGATTTGAGCTGATTGATTAGCATTATAGAAAACAAGCATTAAAAATACATCGCTGTTAAATTTTTTTTCATCAAGTTATATAATACTACTCTATGTGTTTAGCTATGAAACTCAATACTATCCGATCAGGGATGTTTCGAGCGCGAGGACTATCGAGAAATTAACCTTCCATATCTTCTTTCTCCAGCAGAGCTCCAGCATTTTGCTGCTCATCAATACCTAAAAAAAAAACATTCAATTCTCCTTGCAAAACTCATTCAACTTGTGTGAAATTCTTCCAATCGAACTGCGAAATCAGTAACCCCTCCAAATCCTCGCGACCTCGAAATACCTCTCCATCCAATATTGGAACGAATATCGGAATTAAATATTGCATTATCTACATAATAATCTAGATGTTTTCAGTATCTAAATTTTATAATAACAATAAATATTAGTCTGATGATGTCGTGCCTATCTTGAATATATAATATGCAGATGTCGCCATTATATAATCATTTATAAATTAGACGAATTATATTCGATTTATTAAAATAAAGCAAGAAAGAAAATGCCTTTGTTTTGTTCATCGTTCATCTTTAAAAACTATTTTCAATTGTCTGATATTCGTTTTCAATATTACACGTTAACCAAACATGCAAAATACAGTTCGAGATTATCAAGTTGATAAAAGTAAAGATCAACGTTTATATGTTAAATTTTAGTTTTCTGTTTTTATTTAGATAAAATAAAAGATTTTCTTAATGAATTCGAAATCGATACAGCTGATGGTTATAAAGCATCAAAATATGTTAAACAATTAGTAAATTAAAGAAAAATCAATTAAAAATTTCTATAATTGATTTAT